TGTCTTAATTCTCTGTTGTGCGATTGCGATAGCGGATCCTGACCTGGCTGGACCGAAGCAGAGCCTGAACATTTAGAGGATGTTTGGCTCAACCTGCTGCTGTGAAGCAGGATTCTCCACCATGAACAGAATCAACAATAAATCTGGATCCAGGCTCAAAATGAGCTCCTTGATATGTGCTTGAGAATGGCTTAGTCTCCGGTTAAACCCAGGTTTAAAGCCTTGCAGGGCAGCCTAAAGCCCACTGCTCTCATTAAGACAGACAACTACTAGCTTGCAAAAGTGCTTACATTCACAGCTTAGGCCCAATGTAAATGATTTAAAGGTTGAAGATGATCGTAATTTAAATTAGCAGTGACCGACAATCCTCTGACGTTTTATTTTCAGTGCAACTTAGAAAGGTTGGAACAACAAAAGTAAACAGGCCCTAAAAATAAGTACGATCCATGTAGCTTCAATGTTAAAATAGTCAAAGCTTGGAAAAGGCAAATCAAACGTACTGAATGGCTCTGAGTTGGTAGGAGTGAAAAAGGGGCATTAGGTCAATACTGTTGCTAAAACCTGATCTTGTAGGCCAATCAGGATGCAGAAGAGCTCTTTCCAGACACCTCCACCCTCCAGCTGGCGCCCTACGGAAATTATTATCAGAGTCTGCAAGCTGACGATTCCCTGCGGAGAAACTATGAACTACTGGCTTGCTTCAAAAAGGACATGCACAAGGTAAAGAAGGAGACATGTGATGTCATGATGGTGTCATAATGTCGTAATGTTGATGATAATGATAAACTATTGGGGGTCTTTGCAGGTGGAGACTTATCTGACAGTGGCAAAGTGTCGGCTTTCCCCGGAGGCAAACTGCACTTTGTAGCCCTGCCCCTCCCAAGTCAAGCCCCGCCCCCTTGTGTTAGCATAGATTCTGCTTGGTGATGCTGTTTCAGTTGAAATGTTGACAAGACGAGTTCTGACCTGATTTGTGAAGAAAGCTGCCAAAAAGATGTGATGTCACAGCAGTAATGTGTAAAATAAAGTGTTTTCTGTGTTGCATTAATCCACTGCTGGTTTCTGAGTCTGGGTGGATGAAACAAATCTAAGAAAATACAGACAACTCACGACCAGATGAACTATGATCATTCAGTCAGTAACAAAAACTTTTTTATTAGTTGAAGTAAATCTAGTCCTAATTTTCTAGGTGAATCCATGAATTTTATATCAATTGTTAAAACCTAAAGAAGGTTAAATCTGCTTTTAATAAATTTTGTTGTCTTGAAAGTATCTCTGACAGATGATGGAGGAGGGCTTTCCATCAATCCAAATTCAACTCAATTCAGTTTATTTATATAGCGCCAATTCACAGCAGATGTCATCTTTAAGGTACTTTACAGAGACAATTCAACCAGATTATATAGTTTTAATCTAAGGAAAACCAGGTAATTGCATCAATTCATTGACTCGAAAGCAATCCTTCATACAGAGCATGCTTGTAGCGACAATGGAGAGGAAAAATCCCTTTTAACAGAAGGAAACTCCCTGTTAAAAGGGAGGCTCAGTGTGACCGGCCATCTGCCGGGGTGACTGGGGTTCAAGGAGACAGAAGTTGGCATATAGAAATAAGCAGATATATAAAAGGTAACTGTCAACCAGCTCCACAGGCGGCCCTGTCCAGGAAACACACAGCCAGGCAGACGAGCTACAAGCTCCCATGTCAGAGTATCAAAGGGAGCACATCCAGTTGGTCACAGTGAGAAACAGGACTACACTGAAAAACAGGCCAAGCTCCAACATCTATAGACAAAGGTGTTGATGGCAGCCACATTTCTCACCAGGATGGAGTCACAGCCAAACAGGAACAGACCAGATGTTAGAGATTGAACTAACAAATACTGCAGATTGGGTGAATATAGATGGATTGATGGCAGTATGATGAAAA